GAACTAGGGATGCACAGATACAGAAATTTCAGTCAATATCAATATTATTCTTGGTGTTATGGCCGATAGCCGTTATTTACTGATATTACACAAACACAAAATTGATTTATATCATATCATCTTTTTTTTCTAAATGACCAGACCGCTAACACATCTACTTCAGTTATTCCTGGCTGTGCAGTATCAGCAGTTACTTGTACCTATAGGTCAGTTCAAATCAACCTTACATGAGCTTTATCTATCTGACCTGTCAATGTTAGGCACGTTTTATGATGTTGAGTACGCTTTACCTTATGTTTTTTACGTTACATGTTTTGGTTTTATTTATTTTGTATATCTTATATTTTTATCTGACATATTCTCTAAGTGACTTGGATATGTTGTTTGCTTGATGTTTTGTTTCTCCTTCACCTTTTTCTTATGGGCGTCTCTGGTACCCGCCAGGCCGACATTGTAAATAAGAAGTTACTCTTAATGTTTTGCCTGGTAATTAATAAAAAACAATAATAATAATAATAATAAATAAATAAATCTATATCACTATCATGATCAAACGGATACCACTTGACCAACCATTTCCCCTCTCGAAACAGAAACACAAAACTAAAAAGTGGGAAATCATTATCGGACATTAATATTGGCCTAGTTTTAGTCACGATACACAATAAATCAATTAATGGTACGATAAATTAAATTGAGAATAATTTTTATTTGCCTGCTTGTTTGATTTTTTTTCTTACCTCCCTCTTTTCTACTTCTTAGTGTAGAGAGGAGGGAACTCTGGCGTCAGGTATTTGCCAGGTGCATGGTCTCTAACTCTGTAGCATGAGAGCCCATGAACAGGCATTTAGCCAGAGGAGCATCTTCAGTTTTCTGATGCCTTCATACAGCCRGTGATGCCTCAGGACACTTTAAATGTAAAGGGAGGGGTTATATCATTAGTTTAAACTGGTCTCCAAACAATATTATCGTTTATCACAATAATTTCTGAGACAATTTATCATCCAGTAAAATACGGACCGATACAGATGTTAATKCCGATGTATCGTGCATCCCTAGTTTGAGCTGATTCGCAATAAAACAGAAAACTGAGTTAATAAAATTGTATTTCTGCCATTGCAGTGGGCTGATTTGCACTTCCCTTTTTGTCACCATGCTAAACGCTGTTTGATGAGGACGGTTCTGAAGCTGGGTCCAAACAACGGGCGGACTTTCTACACCTGCAGCCTTCAAAAGGGCAAACAGTGTGATTTYTTCCAGTGGGCAGAGAGAGGACCGGGGGTTTCCATCCTTCCTGGGTGTTGACGCACATCAACCAAATAATAACCTATTTTCTATGTGTTTTTTTCTTTCTTAAATACACTGTGTAAAAAATGTTACTCAGTGTGAATATGTTTGTAATTAACTGTGACCTTTTAAATGATGACCTACCACTGTTTTCATCTAATAAAGATCGTTTCTCATCTCGATTGTGATAAAATAAGATTTGAACACGTTACACCAGGAAAAGTCAGTGATCGTTGTTTTAAATGTTTTATTAAATCAATCACCGAAATGAAAGTGCGTTACAGAAATTGTTCATTCGTAAATAAAAGAAAAATAAAATCAGTTTATTTAAAAGCAATCTACAGATTTCAGGATTGGTGTGGCTGATTCAGGGTTTGACACCATGAAGTGAAACTGTGTGAGGCTGGGGGCTTTGTTACACGCTGCACCTGAGAAGAGAAACACACAGGAACGTTATAAAAAATATGCATTGTTTTTTTTATAGCTCCATAGAGTGAACGCAGGCCACTAATAAAGCCATTATTACATTCTAATCTTGCAGTTTTATTTACATTCTGTTCCTAGTTCACATGGAGCACCATAGGTAGTTACATATCACCAAAAGTCATGTAGATATATGGTAAATATAGATGTCAGAAAAACAGCATGTTACTATTTGAAGGGTAAACAAGCCAACTGTGTAAAAAGGGAAAAGCCAAAGGGTGTGCCTCTTCATCTGCCAGAAGGATTACAAAATTTATCACTGTTGCCATGAGAACAAAATTTCTAGGCTGAAACAGATTTTGTTTGAGCACTTCTGGGGGGAAAAAATGGATGAAAATCTCCAAAATGGAGGACAGTTTGATGTATCTTAGGAAGGGCTGAGGTCTAGTAACCTTTAGACAAAACACAAATCAATGTAATTAATGCCTGGCCTTTGTTTAAAAAAAAAGGTCAGTCATTAATTACATTAACACTAAGTTTCAAAGAAAAAAAAACTGACGGGAAATTCATATCAGCCATAACTTTATGTACACAAAGATGTTCTAGTGGGAAAGCCTGCTTCACTTTTGATATATGCACAACCCTTATTATACACACATTGTCTCAGCTTCATTTACACAATTATTTTTTATCCCCAGAAGCCCACCAGCACCCTCACATTATTAGGTGTTGATCATTCCATTTTTTCCCCTTGAATCCCAGTAGATTTGCGTCATTACCTTTTGGAAAAAAAAAAAGATGGCAGTCTGTATTTGTGAACCCACACACTTACCGTAATGGCCTGTTATGTTAGCACAGATTACAGCTCCAAAGAAGTCAGAATAATGCCTCTTGATTCTGGAAATAGCCGACTTGCAGGCTGCTGAGGGATCAGCCCCGGCCCTCATCAGCTCCACGGCCAAGTAACTGTTGGCAAGATGACACAGGGAAGACGTAAGGCAAACTAACAAGGGCTGTCGAGGCCACCAACCAGGATCATGATAATGATGCTTTTAGAATAATAATGATGAAAAAAAAAATTCAGCTGAATAGACCGGGGGGCGGGAAAATGAATTGCTATAATTTGCCAAGGCTTTTAAATGACTTATATCACCAGAATCATTACCTCCATGAGCTTTGGGTCAACTGAATAAACAATAAATGATCCATTTCAGGCCTACTATTAAAAAGACAAGTCAATAATTTGATATAAATAGGAAAATGTATGAATCTTAAAGGACTTCTGTGACAGAAGACTTCCCCTTATGTGGAGCAAACTTAAAGCTGTTTTATTTTTTGTGCTGTAACGAGAACTTAATGCTCAGAACCTCACATTCCAGTTTTTTTATTTTAATTGAGAAATCTCCCTGAAGGATACAATGGAGTATTAGGTCCACACAAGACTATTGTTTTATTCTGAGAATAAAGTCATAATATTACAAGGAAAAAAATGCATAATACAAGAAAAATTTCATATTATGAGAAAAAAAGACTATTATGGAAAAAAAGTCATAATATTACGAAAAAGATGTAAGATTATGATAAAAAGGTTGTAATATTACTAGAAAAATTTCATATGAGAAAAAATTCATATTACGAGAAAAAAGAATATTATGGGAAAAGAGTCAACATTACAAGAAAAAAGCCGTAATACGAGAAAAAGACAGACTTACGAGAAAAAAAGTCGTAATATTACGAGAAAAAAGTAATGAGAAAAAAGACAATATTATGAGAAAATTCATGTTATGAGAAAAAGTCAGTGCTAYGAGAAAAAAGTCATATTACAAGAACAAAGTCATAATATAATAAAATCGTAATGTTATGGGAAAAAGTCGTAACACTACGGGGAAAAAAAGACAGTATTACAAGAAAAAAGTCCTAATATTACAAGAAAAAAGATGTAATATGAAAAAATGAAAAAGGCAGCCTTACCACTGCATTAAAACAATGAATGTTGAGCAACTTGTGAAGTTGTTCTTTAGTTTCAGTTAAAAAAATCTTTTAGCACATTAGCATCAAATTAGCAATAGCAGGCCTTTGAAACAATTGTGCAAACAACTAAACTGAAGCCTAATTGTAATTAATGGCTGCATTGACGGATTGAATCACCACAGAATTTGGATGAAAGCTTTTTACCCTAACATTGACCCAAAGGTCATTGCGGACAACTTTACAAACACAGAGACACTCATGGCGGTCCACAGCAGATGTGAGGAAAATGTGGAGCAAATGAGGAAAAATCATTATGTGGCCCTAATACTATGACTTCTTTTCTCGTAATTTTATGACTTTTTTTCTTGTAATATTACGACTTTATTCTCGTAATTAAAAAAAATATCTCGTGTGGTCCTAATCATCGTAGAAGGAGAAGTAAAACATATTGAGCTATAAAATTATAGTCCCATTCTAGTTTTTATTTTTTATTTATTTACTTTTTATTTTTTGGTGGGGTGGGGGGTTGCCATGTCCTGAATGACTAAGAATTGACACCAGCATACATGAATCGTACTCCTTTGGGAATACTGTTGACCCATAGGAAACTGTTGCATGTAGGGTCCCTGCATGTCATCAGTTTTTGTAATACTCCTTTTGGCAGAGTGTATTTTACACTTTGAATAAACCTGAATATGATTAAAAAAAAAAAAAAAACAAGAACTCTGGTCTGCAGTAAGCCTTCTAACCACACCAATGAAAACATTCTGACTTGGAGAAATGTGGGCACAAATAAACACAATTCAGTCCTCTAATAACAAGGTCCTTTTGAAAAACAAGCTGCAGTAGTTCCAGGAAATGAGTTAAAAAAAACTATAACTGAAATAGACAGCCCTCAGATGTGGTGTGTGCGTGCGTGCGCACGTGTGTGTGTGTGTGTGTACTTTCAAACCTAGCCTAGATAAATAAAGCTTTTAGATAAGCAAAAGCATTTTTGTGGCCTTAAAAAAAGCACTGCTTAAGTGATATTTTGCTTCTTTGGTGCAATGTGCTGATGACAGTTTTAGGGCAATGTAGCCATGTTTCTTTTTTTTTTCCCCCTAATACTATTTATGCACATGGAACTCAATGCTGACATGAGAAGTTAGCTGTTTAAAACCTACACTTGTCACACATGTCAATTTATTCTGAACGTCATTATCAAGAAAAACAAAACAGCCCTTTTTTTCACTAGATATTTGGTAAATAGCATCGAGTTAGAGAACGTGGAGGAGTTTGGATCTTGTCACCATGTGAGATTGGTTCAGCTGGGGTGTATTTGACTGACAGGAAACTATTTTCAAATACAGAAAAACTTTAACTGAAAAAAAAAAAAAAAAACCAGGAAAAGTTTTGTGTGGATGAGATGTGGATACAGTCCAGGGACAAAAAAATGTTTATTGCTGTGAGAAAGTTGTTTTTTTAAGTAAATTTTTGTTTCACTTCTTTGTGAACTTTTTGATTTTTTTAACCTTTAAGTACTTCACACTGTTCCATGTTTTTATGCAATCCTCCAGCGACGCAGAAAAAGGAAAATTTAAAATTCATTAGGAGATATGGTCAAAGCACCTTGGTAGGAAGCGCATCATGATGTCTCCGTCTCCAGTTGCTGCAGCRGCACCAACTGAACCGTCTGCGTAGGCCCCTGCACCGATAATAGGAGAGTCTCCAACACGACTGCAAAACACAGAATATGAAGCGGTTTTAAACACAGAACGTCAAAAACATAAAGTGTAGAACATTTATAGACTTTATGTCTAAATGTATATGTGCAGAAGTGTCACACATTCATTACTTAGGGTTTTAAAATACTTATTTAGAAGTATAAACTCCAGATTTTTACTCGTGTAAAAGTATAAAAGTATTGATTTAAAAACAACTTAAAGAATAAAAGTAATGTAAACAAGAGAATAAAACAAGTAAAAGCTTAGGATGTGCCACAGYGGCCTACTGTATAATGCACAACCCCACCTCCACAAAAAAAACCTTTTTCTAAAAGCCACAATGAGGAGATTGTTATTCAGAAATTGGGATGCATTAAACTACTTGTTTCAGCTGCATAAATACATCTCTGCCACGCTCATCTGCATACGAGACTACATACGTCTGACATGTACTGCTGGAGTGTGACGTGATCTCTGTCATGTGCAGATGCAATGGTTTGCAACGGCACATAAAACAATATGTCTTTTTAATTTTTTTTTAATCGATGACAACCTGGCTGTGGCGGGCACAGTTCCCCTAAAGCACTAATAGGGGAACTAATTCCCTGATTAATGCTTTAGGGCTTTTGCTGCTTTTAAAATTTATTTGTGGATAAGTACTTGCTAAATTTAGAAGCACTAACTGAGGTCTATAAATGTTATTGATCAACGTTAATGTTAACAGCTGAAGGTGAAAGCTGTCAAACATTTTGTTCATATGTGTGTCACTTATCCACCAGGTGACAATATATGAACTCAAATACGGCTGTGGAATGTTAATAATGAGTCTTAAGAGAACAACACGGCAGCATGTGACTCGTGTTGTCTGTTGAAGAATGTTCATGGCTTTATCGGGTGATTTTAGTGCTTTAGAATTAGCTTTTGCTAAAACTTTCAGTGCGTTAGCGCTTTAGAAGTAGGGAGACCTAAATATTACAGTTAGTGTTTTAGGGCTAGTGGAACTAATTTTTAGATTAGTGCTGCCCCACCAGTGCTAGCCTGGTTTATACCAGACCCTGTCCTTCACTTTGCTTCATACGAGGGTCTGGACTTGCTGCATAGAGAAGCGTTTCTTGCAGGAGGCGTGGCCTCTGCTGAAGCATGTTTGTGTTGTCGGTGTGAAGGAGGCTAAGCTAAGAAGCTAACCGGAAGTCGCGTGTGCTGCAAACAACCCTACTGAGAGGAGAAAAGTACCGAGCCAAACGAGACGACTGTAAATGAGAGCTGCTGCTTTGTCAGACAAATTTATTTGAATTTGAAGCCTTATCAACACGGACTGGTTTCATTCACTTCCTCCGCTGCCGTAGCTAAACTAACTAGCAGACACTGCGCAGAACATCGACGTCATTCAAAACTCTGCCTTCTGTTTGCTGATTGGTCCAGGTAAAATAAACTACAAGCAGACACTGCGCAGAAAATTGACGTTCTCTTCTCTGATTGGCCCGGCTAAAAATCTGCCAGCGAAATCCTTGTCTATGGGAGAAATGCCAGACGGAGCAGTGAAGGGAAACTAGAATTGAGCGGAGCTGCGTGGGAAAGGCAAGGGCCAGGCTACACAAGTGCAAGCTGGAATGAAATTGAAATGAAATACTTTTTGCATTTTTAAAATATAGTGAGTAGAAAGTAGATAAATCACATCAAAATGTAAGAATTAGAAGTAAAAAGTTTAAACTTAGGCAAAGTAACAAATTATTTGAACCTTGTTACTTGAGACCTCTATATGTGTCTAACCTGTTAGCACCAGAGAAAAATGTATTTTATTTTTTTGTTTTTAGTGCAACAGAGAAACTGGAAACTAATATATATCTTTAAATACTGCTCAGTTGCAAATAAATAAATAATAAATAAAATCTCGCCCTCCTGCTTAGCACTCCAATTGATCAAGTCTGCACATTTTCATCACCCCAAGGCAAAGTCAGAACAGTCATGTTTTTGCCCGTGTTAGTGTGTGTTTGTCCGTACATTTAGCAAAACATCTCACGGATCACTATAGATTATAAAACAGCTTTCAACATCAACTACAAATGAGTTTTGTAGTCACAGATTCAAGATGGCTGCCACAGAAATGGCTATAAGTTAGCCAGTTTTACTGATATCAGGCTATAATTTGGTGTGATAGCAGCTGAGAGTCATCCTCAACCTATAATGAGTTCTAACGGTCGTGCAGGATGTGTGTTTGAAACTTAATCATCATTGGAATCAACTATTTGATAGCAAAACATCTTAAGAACCAGTAGATAATAAAAGGTTCACATCTACAACTGATTAACCTTTGAACTCAATCCAACTCAAGTCGGCTGCCACCGCCAGATCTGAGAAAACACAATAGTACTCAGCCAGTTGTGCAGATATTAAAATAAAACTTTAGAAGGATTTTCTACATGATGCTTTCATGATCCGTTACTTTCGTCAGTGTTTTAGTATTTAACCTTTAGGGCAATCTGTTGGTATAATTGAAATCTAATTACCCTCAATGTCTTCATTAGCACGCAATTAGGTGGAAACTATCTTCAACTGAACAAACTCCAAAGATCCTTTTATGTTATCATCCTCACTGACAACCCCTCCCATCGTGCCACTACAGCAGACCAGAAGGGACAAATCAAACGTCTTCAGATGAAGCCCGTGATTTTTATTTTCTCTTTCATTAGTGGATCCTATAAATCAGGCTCATAACTGGTAAACGTTAAAAAGAAACATTTACATAAACTGCATATCTAATAAATAAAAATAAAAAAAGGCCCTGCAGCTTTTAATAAATCATTTAAAATGATGTAATCATGCAAAGTGTTTGCATCTTAAGTTCACCATGAACAGACTGGAACACCACATTAGATCTCATCATTTCAACCTTTTGAAGGGGGGTAAAGTTTGCAATTTAAATATTAAGATTATTTATATTCCATCATGAGACATTCATTATGAGAGGATCACCTCTGTTGCACCGTCTCTGTCACAACAACCTTTCCGGGGCCCTGAACCTTGAGATGCTTTTAAGTCACTGAAATGTACTGCTGCTGCGATCATCTTTCCCCTTACTGATGCTGTGACCACCATATTTTTTGTTTGTTTCATTCAATACAATGTTTTCGCTACATAAGACAGCCTTTATGGTCATTTGATACATAAATACTGAAACAAAGTTCTGTAAAAGACGGTTTAAATCACTGGACACCTGTCTGTGTCATGATCAATTACTGAACGATGTGCTCGCACCCAGACGCAGGGAACTGGCTGGGACATTATCTGTTTTAAATTATGTTACAAGAAAAGTTCAAGTTCACAGAAAAACTGGAGGACATCCAAAAGGACTGAAATGACATCTGAGAAACCGTGATGCCGTGCTCGGCACGTTCTGCAGTCTGAACAGCACTTTGGTCCTCTGTGGCAGGCTTAGTGCTTTCAAAAATACAATGGATTGGATTGAAATGCTGATTAAAAAGCAAAGTGAGTTTATTCTACTTATTATTTTGAAAAGACGATCTCAAAAAAACACGTTTAAATTAAACAAAACATAATGCAGACTTGTCCAGGGTGTACTCCACGTGTCGCACAGTGACCACTGGAGGTGGGCACCAGCTCAGCTGCGACAGGGAAAGGAAAAAGCAGGTTAAGAAAATAAATTAATAATTAATCTACACACCCTGGAACTTTGTGATTTAGTCCATTGGTTGATGTACCAGCAGCGATATGACCATTTTGATCAAGAGCAATCATCCCTGGTAGGAAGAAAAGACAGAAAAATAAATAAATAAATAAACCCAGCATGATTAAAATAAAAAGTTGCTATGCGGTAGGTATAAAAAACATCTAATTAAAGTTTTTCAGGGTCTTGTATATTTCAATTAAAAGTTTGGTGCGCAAGCAGCTAGACTCGTAATAGCTTCAGGAGTCAATGAGTTAAAAAGGAGATCGAGCAAAACTCGTATCATATAAAACAATAAGGCCCTATTTTCAAATAATTAATTTTGTGTCAATCCGGTGCCAAAAGACGTCTAAATGAAGGAAAAATGACGGTGACCTACCGATGGTGTCATGGGAGTGTATGCCGACATGCCGCGGCCCCCTGGTCTGTGTCTGCACTGCCTGTGGCCTGTAGGGTCCACAGGATTTTGAAGCATCTGGACTGACGTTCTGTTGACAGACGATAAGGGGGGACCATCACTGTTTGCATTAAGTTGTTATCTCGGGACTTAATAATCTTAATAAGACACAAGCAAATATYTTGATCTGTAAGCAGTTTTATTCCAGGTACTTAATGAAATTGAGGCACTTCAGCACTTTTGTCAGCGCATGTTTTGGTACCTAATATATAATGATGGACATCTTCTTTAGCTGTCAAAGAACATATACTGCAGCACAGGTGACTCTGTAGCTCTACATCCACTCTAAGTGGTTCTGAGCGGCGCGTCAGACAGCACAAGATGTGATACTCAGTGATTGTGTTCGGTGGATTGAGCACACCGCCTTGGCCTGCAGAGGAATGCGAGAAGTTTATTTTGCTTATTCGATGTGAAATTCTGCTGAAAAGTGTCATTTTTTTATTAAATGGATTGCTGCAAAATGTGAGTTGTGGCATGTTCCCTTTTATGAAGACAAAATCATTGCAGCATTCATTTTTATTGATGAGTAACCTCTGAAACCAAATTATACAAGTTGTTTTTGAAGCACGACTTATCTACCATGAAAAAAAAACCTGTTACATGTTGTGAATCTTTAACTTTACCACACCTAAATATGTCCAAGACTGCCGTTTCTGATAATTTAATCAGATACATAAACAACAAAGTTTATAACAGCACTTTATAGTGCTTATAAGGCCTTTTTTCCCCTCAATGTTTCATCGTTTATTTATCTGCAGAGCGTACACCCTTATCAGCTGAATACATTTGTGCTGCACACAAAATAGCAGATGTCGGTGTATCAGAACACAATCCTCTCCAGGTCCACAGTGTCCTGAAGGCTTTGGTGACTCAGAATGAGAAATATTTGCGGGAGCAAGCATATTTAGCTTTAAAACCTTGATTCCAATCCAGATTCCGATAAACACAATACTGTCCCGACACATCCACTCAGTTTCTTACCCATGTTTCACTTTCACAATAAGGGTATCCTTATAAATTAGTAGTGGAAAGTTAATGCAGATAATAAACAGGCGGTAAACACTTATATACACTATTAATAAGCAGCATTGCATTAGATGAAAGGACAATACTGACTTGGTTAAGCAAACATTTTTCTGTATTCTCCATTTCCACCGTTAACCTGTATACTTCATAATTATGGCCCCCGCCTGCACATGAAGCGGGGGTCATATTTATTATTATTATTATTTTTAATCCCAGTGACTTTTGGTCAACCGTAGCACAAAAACAGCTGCACCGATCAACATGAAATTTAGCAGGAATATAGATGTGTCCGATCTACACTGCACCAGCCAATGATTTTACAATACACCCCATTTTTGAAGAGGGGCTCCAACTAAAACAAGGGTG